AGAGCGGGGCCCCAGTCAGGACGCTGGGGCTCCTGGCCCAGCTCCAGGCACCCTGCTGAGCGATGGGCAGGTGTCTGCACTGCGGCTCCCCGCTTACCCGTGGAAGGTGCGTGCAGTGAGACCGGCCTCGTTATCGAGATGAGCTGGGCTCAGATGACGTGGAAGTGGAGCTGCGAGCAGATACTAGAGGTGAGCATGGGTGTGACTCCCTGAGCCCTGGCCAGGTGCCCTTGCATTTTGCTTGTCCCCACTGGGGGACGGTCTTTCCACAGAGGGTGTCAGGCTGACTGCCCTGGTACAAGTTGGTGACGACCACACTGACCACGCCATCAGCTTCAACCAGTCTAAAGAGTTCACTTTGATATTTTAGCCTCTTAAAACACCTGCTGTCAAACTGCACATTTGATTTCAATTAACTGGATTTTTCCAATGAGACGACTCTGATAATAACTTTGGTAATCCCATGACGCCTCATTAGAGCTGTGGGCTGATTATTAGCCCCGCCATGTCTCAAGTTCTCCCTCGGTGCCTTTGTCTCTTCGGCACTGAATCCCGGGCTCAGCGCTGTCTTCGGCTCACTCGGGTCCGCTGAGGATGAGGCGCTGCCTGCTCCACTGTGGGTCACGCTGCTCCTGAGGGTCCTCCCTCAACATAGAGCTTCTTGTCATGCGACAGTTTCTCAGGGACACGTGGGGTGACACGTGGGGGTGTGGAGGAGGCCCCTGGGGGTTCTGTGTTGGCCTAGCCACTGTGACGCTGCCCAGGAGTCCTCCAGGATGCTATCCAGAAGACTTAACTCTTGTCTCCAAAGTGGAGAGGTTTCAGCACAGGCTCTGACTGAACAGGCTGGAGTGCCAAACCTGGCCCTGACCTGGCAGCACCCTGGCCTTTGGCAGTGGCACGGTGTGGAGGCTTGCTCTCCATACTCTAGAGTGAATGACATCGCTCTGCCAGCCAGAGCGCAGAGGGCTTGGCGTGTGGCCGTGTTCTCGAGATACCGTGAGAGAGGCAACCGGAGGATTCAGTGAGGTAGCATGTGAAGCCCAGCCCGCAGTGTCCTCAGTGAGTGGGGCTTCGACGTTGTCCCCAGTGGGTAACTGTCGAGAGCAGCAGCGGCCAGCCACGGTGACGGCAGTGAGGACACGGTGCTCTGCAGCCGGCCCACCCGAAGGCCCCAGGTTGACATCCCAGGACGTGTGTGAGGGGCAGGTGGTGGCTTCGAGACCCTCTTGGGGGTGCACTTGTTTCTTGTTCTCTCACAAAAGAATAAATAAAAACTAAAAAAAAAAAAAAAAAAAAAAAAATTGGCACCTCCCTATTTCTGCTGGCTCTGAGGCAGGCTTCCCAGGGCTCTCCAAGGACTGACTCATACGCCCCTGTGCAGCCCTCGAGGAAGGCCTACTGCTAATTTCTGTTTTGCTCAGGAGGGGGCTGCTGAGGCCCAGAGAGGCTGGGGCTGGCAGAGGTCACACCGCTGGAGCGGGCGCTGTGGTCCAGTCCTAGGCTGTCGGGCTCCTGACTGCACCATCTTCACCCCGGCTGGTGTGAGTGATGTAGCTTCATCCCAGGAATGTGGGGCGCTGAGTCTGAACGTACCCCAGGGCATATGTGCAGGTCATAAACGCAGGTGGTGTGTCGGGGACCAGCCCCAGCAGATTACAGACGGTTCTGGCAATCAAGACTGGAAATTTCCCTCCGAAGTAGAAAGTCGCTGAGCTTTCTGGTGTCCGGGTCCGCGTCCACTCTGCATTTCCTCAGAGCCGGTTGGGGAGTGTGTGGCAGGGAGTGGGGCTCTGCAGTGGAGGGCTCTTGTTCACAGGCTTTGGGAGTTTCTTCCCAAAGCACATTGTCCTCCCTGGAGTTCAGGAAGGGCCCAGACCTGCCACCTTCCCCTCTGGCATTAGGGCCACTGTGGTCCGACTGTCACTGACTTAGACGTGCTGTTTGTTATTATTACTGATGTTGTCATGTCGTACTTCAAGGTGAGGCGTTGTTCATTTAGATATGGCCTCTATTCTCCAAAGACGCGAATGTGCTTCCTTAAGACTTTTTTTTTTTTTTTTTTGGCGGGTACTTGCTCTTCAGCAGCAGCGAATTCCAGTGCTGGGAGAAATTGCTGATGCAGCTTCGTCCTGGTTACAACCTCTGGCTGCTAATAGCAGGTGTCCCTGTGGTCCCGGATGGGCTGCACTTCACATTTTCCTCTTTTTTTTTTTTGACTTGCTACTTATGTTGGTCTTCTTAAAACGCAGTAGAAAGGAGCACATCCATGGGGATTTCTGATGTTTTTGCCCAGGGCTGACTCGAACCCTCAGCCTGAAGAAGGCTAGGGTGGGCTGACCTGGCTGGGTGTCTGTCTCGAAGCAGGGATAACGCAGCTTCCTGGGCGGCATGTCCTGAGGGCACACGAGCGTCCCAAGGGCCGGCGGGATTGTGCAACAGCAAGGTTGGGCGAAGGGAACAGCTGCCCGAATTACTTTATTGACGATGATCCAGGCATGGAGAGCTGGCAGACCGGGAGTTGCTGCTGCGGGGAGCCAGGCAGCCGCCGTGGCTTTCGCTGGGGCGGAAGCGCGGAACTGCACTTTTTCTCTGTGGGTTGGAGTGTCCAGAGGTGGGATGCGGTGGAGGTTGAGGGGTGTGCATCCCAGACTTGGCCTGATGACTTAGGGCTGAAATCACCGGATGTGGGTCAAGGGGGGTTTAGAGGGCACTCGGCGTAGCCCCTCATCCCACAGGTGGGAAATTGAGGCCCTGGTCAGGGCGGAGGTGGGCATCGAGCCCAGGACCCAGGGCTAGCGTGGAAGGTTCCAGGCTTCAGCACTGTGCTGTAGCCGGACCGAAGCCTGTGGTGTTGGTTTTGACGACGAGGTCCGGTTCATTGGAGTTTTCTCTCCAGGCTGCCTTCCTGCGGGTGGCCCTGTGGGAGGAGCTGGGCCCCTGCAGAGTGCAGCGTGCCCTGCCTGTGTGTGCCGACAACCAGGTGGGCCCTCGTGGTGTTCGGGGTGGTGGGTAGGCCCTCAGAGCAGCTGAGTTCTGGTTGGCACAGGTAAGCTCTGGGTGGCTGTGGCCAGTTCGGCCGCCCCGAGTTGTCTGTTTCTGAAGCTTGTCGATGCCCACTGACCGCAGGGCCCCAGGCGGAGGGGCATCTCACCATCTGCTCCGAGGAGTCCTGCAGTGCCCTGTCGCCCAGCCCCATGCACGTCATAGTGCGTTGTGGTCTGCCCTGGGGCAGAGGCCAGTACCTTTAAGAAGGTAATGGGGCGGCCATCTTGGGGGGCATACAGGGGGTCTTCAGAAAGTTCATCGAGAATGAGAATTGTGGAAAACTCATGCACAGATTTCAATAATTTGTTGCAGCAAAAAGAACTTGTACTTTAGTTCCTTTTTTTCATGGACTTTCTGAAGCCCCCTCGTAATGACTGCCCATCGACCGACCCCTTGAGTGGAGGCGGCAGTTTGGGGAGGTGCAGGAGTGGGGTCTGTTGGGGTCTCCCTGGGGAACGCCAGCAGGCTGGCCCCGGGGGAAGCTGTAATCCGTCTGGGGAGAGGCTTTCTGCCCCAGCAAAGAGAAAGGGCAGGAATCTGGGAAGGGGTGAGGAGGAGAGGGAGGAGAGGTGTCTCTCTTTGATGTCACTCAGGCGGGAAGCCTATCTGCACATGTAAATGAACTTGAAAATGTAATTAAGCACATACACACATTAGAGACCGGGTGCGTGTAGCTGAGCGCAGCCCGCCCGTGACAGGTAGTTTCCTACAATCAGCTGCGGCTCTCGGCTGTGATTAACGTGTCCTGGTGGTAATAGACGCACCCAGATAAATGCCAGGGTGATTTTCCCAAACTGCAGCCTGACAGCCCCACCGAAGGCGCGCTTTCTTTGCTCACCTTCTTCCTGCTTTCAACCGCCACTTCAAGAAAGTCCTTCCAGGGGCTGGTTCTGGTTTGGGAGGACAGTGACGGAACAGCCACTGGCACCTTAGTGGGCCCAGGTCAGAGGCCCGGGAACGGCAGAGTGGGCACAGCCCAGGCAACTGCAAGAGCTACCTCTGGTGGCATCCTGCGGGAGTGGACGAGGGTGGTCCAGAGTGATCAGTGTAGGGGCCGGAAGGGAACCACAGGTGCTCTGTGCCCCATGCCCCTTTCTATAGTGACAGCGAGTCCAGAGAGCACGCTCAGGTGGGCAGCCCGGCTCGTGGGCCGGTCGACGGTCAGCACACGCCCCCCTTGCTGGGGATGTGGTGGGCAGGATAGGCCTGGTGGTGCTCCCGGCCTCGAACGGGAATGTACGCCCGGTGAACTCTTCTGATATTTTAGCATGGACATGCACCTCAGCCTTCTCCAGACACCCTGCCTAGAAGAGACGTCCTTACACTTTGGAGGTGACTGTCCCATCTGTGGCCATCCTCTGAGCTCCCTGACACATTCCCTCTGCTGTGTCTATGGCACCTGGCCCCTTCCTCTTTGTTGTCTGGGGCCCAGCGCAGGTGGGCAGTGGCCCTGACCTTGCAGATGGCCTGGAGCCTCACCTGCTGCCCGCTGCCCATGGTTGTGACTCCCGGACCCTCTCCTCCCTCACCTGTGTCTGCGGTGGCTCTAGGTAGTTCCAGAGTCAGACCTGGGGTCGCTGAGGTTCCTCCATAGCCTTGGGATTGCGAGGTGCCGAGAGTCAGGCACAGAGAGCCCTGGGGTTCTGACCCCAGGGTTCTGACTGTAAGGCTCTGGGTTCTGGAATACTCTGCTGGAGTGTTAGTGATCCTGCAGCCCAGGGCGAAGCCTGGACCTCTCTGGGGGAACAGTGCAGTGTGCCGGAGAACTGTTGAGGTTCTTCAAGGGTGTTTGTCTCTCATTTAGATAACTAAGTGGAACTCGAATATATTTCTGTAAATAAAATAGTCCCCCAGCTCCCCCCCAGTCAGTGTCTCGTTGGAGTTATTTTATTAACGCGTTCTGCTGAGTGGACTTGGACGGGGGATGCAGCCTCTCACATCGTGGATCTAATTATAAACACAAGGGACGGCACCAAATAGGCAGGCTTTGAAGGGAGAAGAGTCTGGCAGCTCCGTTTAAAGTGTCCTTTAATGAACTTCTTTGGTACTTGTATCTTAGCAACACATTTTATTACATCCCGCTGCAGCTGGACTTGCTGCGCAGTAATTTATCCCCCCACGGCCCCACCCGGTGACCGAGGGAGGACTGTGCCCACCGCTCCCCCAAGGCTGTGTTTGCATCTCTCCTGCTTTGTTTAGTTGATGAAAAAGGCAAACACAGGCTGGGAGCTGGGGACCTCGCGGGCTGGTCGGAGCCGGGTGAGGGGAGGGTGGCCGGGCTGAAGGTGGGCGCTGCCCTGGCAGCGTGTGGCGCCCCGGCCGGTTCAGACAGACGTTGCTGCTGCATCTGCTGACTCCTCGGGTTTGGTATTTTTATCTGGTCTTCTTTCCTGTAATGACACTAATTTGGATTCAGCGGAAGTGGGGACATTTGCACATCTTCATCGTAATCAACGGCTTGTAAGTGGGGGTGGGAGGTGTTGAAGAGAGGCTGCTTCTAAACCCAGTGGACGCGCAGAAGGGTGGCCCGAGGAGGGAGGAGGGCCTGGCGCTGGGCCACCTCGAGCCCAGAGATTGCAACCAGCCCCTTCTCTGAGGCGTCACTTTCTTTGCTGCTGGAGGAGTTTCCCGAAGTTGCCCTAACAGACCACCACAGCCTGGGAGCTTACGGCATCGGCATCGGAAGTGCATTTGCTTTTAGTCTGGAAGCCAGAGGCTGAACTCCAGGTGTGTCAGCAGGGCCATGCTCCCTCCCCCTCGGCAGGCTCCAGGGAAGGACCCTTCTCGTCTCTTCCAGTTCCTCCTGGTGGTCCCTGGCTTGTTGAGGCACCAGTGCCATTTCTGCCTGTCTTCACATGACTGTCTTCCCTTTATGTCTTTTCTGTGTCTTTCCCCCTTTTTTATTTTTCTGAAGTTTAGTTCTTCACTGAGAAAGAGACAGAGATAGAGAGACACATTCCCAACAACTGTGACCCACCCCAGCCGGCCCTGGTTCCTGGGTACGTGTGTGCCCAATGTCCTCAGGTCTCCAGACCTGAACCCAGAACCCTCCCACATGGGTCAATCTCACAGAGCATCGGGCTCACTGCTGGGCCACTGTCTGGCCCCTTGGCTCCTCCTAGAAGGACAGCAGCCATCAGATATGGGACGCCCTGATCCATCCAGACCTCGCCCTAAATGATTGCATCTGCAAAGACCCTGCTTCCAAGGCAGGCCACGTTCTCCAGTTCCCAGTAGACAGGAAATCTGGGGGTCACTGCTCACAGCACACTTGGTCAGCCTCATGCTTTAGGCCTGCCTTGGTTGGGATTGGAAGGGTCAAAGGCAACGGAGGACACCAGCGGCCAGTCCTGCAGCAGGCTCGGGCAGTGTGTGCTCCCTGTCCCGCCCTGCCCTGCGCTGCCCTGCCCGCCCAGAGCTGGGAGGGGCACAGCTGGAGCTGCTCCTCCGAGGGTGGCGGTGGGAGGTGTTTTCTGAACCTGTTACCTGGCATGGGGTCTGAAGTGTTGAAATCAGGACCATCCAGGGAACCAGCAGTTAGCATAATGGCTGTGTTGCTGGACTCCCACGTAGTCGACCGCGGTTCGTGTCTTGGACCGGGTGGCTTAAAACTCACGCCGGGCCCGTGTGCGTACGTGCCCAAGATCCCGAGAGGAGAATGGAGGAGAAGGGATTG